ATATTGTCTACATCTCAATATAACTGTATCTTTATTATAAGGCATATCAATAGACCTTTTAGTATACCTGTAAATCCTGTATATAGTTATCAATGTAAATATTTTACTATATTAATTATCAGAATGAGCTTTATTGTTAGTGCATCTCGCTAATCTAAACCAAAAGGAGTATTTTCCATCTACTTTAAAAAAGGCTGGCTATGGTGCCAAAAGGTCCTCATAGTCAGTGACAATGCTATTAGTACAATATCTGCATTGATACATGTACAGGATACATAAGCATACTGTTTTCATTAAAAAAGCAAGAACATCTGCCTATTGATATGCCTAATAGTAAAGATATATTTATGTTGAAATGTAGTATATATATATATATTCAGATTTGCATTTATATACTCAAGATTAATAAAAATACATTGTGATTTACTATTATATAATTAGAATAAAAAAATATAAATTCACAATTTACATTTATATATTCAAACTTTACAACTATATTTTTGGATTTACCTCTATATATTCAGACTTTTAACTATATATTCAGATTTTCTTCTATATATTTACAATTTACATTTATATATTCAGAGTTATAACTACATATTCACAATTTACATTTATATATTCAGATCTATAACTATATATTCAGATTTACATTTACATATTCAGAATTATAACTATATATTCAGATTTACATTTATATATTCAGATTTATAAGTATATATTCAGATTTACATTTATATATTCAGACTTAACTATATATTAAGATTTACTTCTATATATTTACAATTTACATTTATATATTCAGAGTTATAACTATATATTCAGATTTACTTCTATATATTCTCAATTTACATTTATATATTCCGATTTATAACTATATATTCCGATTTACTTCTATATATTCAGACTTATAACTATATATTCAGATTTACATTTATATATTCAGAATTATAAGTATATTTTCAGATTTGCATTTATATATTCAGACTTATAACTATATATTAAGATTTACATTTATATATTCAGAATTCTAATTATATATTCAGATTTGCATTTATATATTTAGACTTATGAGTATATATACATATTTACTTCTATATATTCAGACATAGTATAGTCAGAATTATAACTGTATATTAACTATTTACAATTATATATTCAGGCTTATAACTATATATTCACAATTTACAATTATATATTAAGATTTACATCTACATATTCAGATTTGTATATAATTATTTCCTGTTTGGCACCTCATAATATATATAGGCCTATATTGCGTTGGTTGATATGTAAATGAGATCTTGCGTCTGTGTTCTTTAATTTGCGCATTGTTAGTGAATCCCCCACAGAAGTTTCCCCTCCCAACGGGAATTCCATTTTGGAATTGCGCTCTCGCGCTAATTTGCCCTGTTTAGTAAAACTGGCCCTTAGTTACTATTTGTGAGAAGTAACTAGTAACTATACTATTTACTTTTTTAAAGTAACATGCCCACCACTGGTCAAAGCCATGTCTTGTCAAAATGCAGACATTTACTGGCATGCTCTGATGTTTTGTGACATTTGCTTCAGATCCTCACCCTGGAACCTGCTCTGGAACAGGAAGTTCACAAAAGAGGTTGCTATTTTTACTAACACACCCTGATCATTAGGCTGGTTAAGGTTAACATATATGTACAAATGTATGTACCATGCACACACACACACACACACACACACAAACACAGGCACAGACAATTTGGACAGCATATATATTAGACAATACAGTAGCACTTCCTTTATATTATACTATTTAATATAAAACATCTCTCCTAAGTCTGGTTTCATATCATGTCCACAGCATCACTTGGCAGTTTCAGAAAGTATAAAGTGGAGGGTGGTTCACAGTAACACCCACCACACCCATCTATTCACTTCTAAGGCTTGATTGTAATGGCAAGAATGATTATGCAGAAATGTACGCCCATAGCATGACAGCTACTTTACTGGACTTTATAAGCAAAGTGACACTTAAAACAAAATGACTTGAAGACTAAACTTTATACTAACTCTTTTTTATAACGTACTCTAAAGCTGCTTATTACTTGTTATTCAACAGTTTAATTTCAATATCTATATTCAGCAAATGTAATTTCTGATCAGATTTAATTCGGATTTGTCCATATTACATTTTTTATTTCTTTCTACATCTCTAAATATTATATTGGATTTCCACTTAAAATCATTCAATACATTTCTAAATATTTAATTTTTTTTTATGATTTTAATTCAATTTAAACTCAGAATTATAAGCAAAGTGACACTTAAAACAAAATGACTTGAAGACTAAACTTTATACTAACTCTTTTTTATAACGTACTCTAAAGCTGCTTATTACTTGTTATTCAACAGTTTAATTTCAATATCTATATTCAGCAAATGTAATTTCTGATCAGATTTAATTCGGATTTGTCCATATTACATTTTTTATTTCTATCTACATCTCTAAATATTATATTGGATTTCCACTTAAAATCATTCAATACATTTCTAAATATTTAATTTTTTTTAATGATTTTAATTCAATTTAAACTCAGAATTGTGAAAAAGAACACAATATGAACAAACAAGTAAACTTATTATTGATCATACCTACATGAAGAGAACTAGAGAGTACCTGTGCAGTATATACACTATTTTTCTAACTATAAGTCCTGATATGTAAAGAAATATATAAATTTCATATTATACTAAACATTTTAATCCAATCAGCACTAGGAGTTTAACCAGTGACACAATTTCAAAAGATGTGGGAAATGTTCCCAGAAGCAATGAATGTGAAGAATGCTTTTGGTTAACCAGGTATCTCTTGACATCTTGCATGTGTAACAAGCATGAACATTTGACGTAGGAAAAATAAACACGCATATATGTAAATGTGCTGCGTGATAATCTAAATAAAAACATGCATCTATGTTCTCACCAGAATCTAAGTCTTCCGGTTTTATATTTGTTTCAATTGCAAATTATTGTTTTATTCAAGGAAAACTAAATATGCTTGTAATTGGTATATTAATCAAAAAGAATAAACCATTTATTATAAAAAATCAAGGCAATATGACTATTTTGTTTTTATAAATACATGTGAAATAACTATAATCTTGTGCATCAATAATAATGATAATCAACGAACAGAAAGATAAGCTTCTAACATCACAAAGAATATAACTATTTCAACAAAAACAACAACAATTGCAAGTTTAGAATTTATACTCTATAAAAGTAATCTCAAGGTTCCATAACAAAATACGCTCTATAAAATTCTGTATCATATGATAGTCACACTTATATGATAACATACTATCAAATGATATTGATTTTTATCATCAACCTTTTGAAGACAGGGTTGTCAAGTTGTTTAACAGCCTCTATTTATAAATTTGGCAAACATTCCTAGCATCATCATCACAGCTGTAATAAATAGGTCTGGAGAGAGAGAGAGAGAGAGAAAACATGCTGTTGACAGACACAATAATACAACAAATCACAGCCCCTGCCAAGTAGCATTCCATTACTTATTTATGCATTTCATTAAAGGAGAAGAAAAACCAACCACGTCATGCATTCTATTTAAGGCAGTATTGCTACAGGTGAGTCAAGAAAAGTGCTGAAATTGAGCAAAGGATAACTAGTCCTTGAAGCCGTTGAACCAACAGTGGATTAACCATTTTTATTTCACAGCTCAGTGATATTTGCTCAAGGATAAGGTAAGGACGTTATATAACTATGTTCTTATTAAAGATGTTTGTGTTAATTATAAATTAAACAAGAAATTTTAACAGACTATAGGATAACAAAAAATGCATTAATTTCTCGTAGTATGTGAGTTATCAATAAAAAAAATAAAGCAAAAAAATGGATTTGTAGTAAATTGATGGTAGCAGAAATCTGTGGTATGTGTACTGTCACTAAATGTATTTTGCCAGATATTCAAGTTAATTTCTTCAGTTTACACATGGTCTTGATTTAATTTTTTTTTAAATTGCTCATAAAATCGTTTTAACTGATACTCTAACGTTATTTATGGCAATTGGGTAACAGTTTGGGAAGTTGACATAAATGAAAATGCTGTTTGTAGTTTTGGTTTATTCTAGCAGATAACAGAGAGTTGTCTGACACCTCTATAGACTGTAGTTATAATTTATTGAATTATTGGTCCCACTTTATATTAGGTGGCCTTAACTACTATGTACTTAAATTAATCATTTGATACAATGCTCTTATTGTGTACATACATGTTTTACATTGTAATTATATTTAAAAAAATACCTGCATGTGATTATATCTGTAATTAATTTCTGTAATTACATTTGCATATGCAAAATAAACTATATTTTTGATAGACCTTTCCAGTGTCCGGACAACATCGGCTATCTGTTTAATTACACTGTTGACCCATCCCTTACACCTTACACCAAACCTGTCCCTAACCTTACCCGTATCCCACTTAAATAGCAGCAAAAATGTTTTGCAATACAATATGAACACAATAAGTACAACCTAATATAAAATGGGACCAATTATTTATTACAATTTTGCTGTTGTGGGTCCAAGGCTCTAGAACGACCTACTGCATGAAATCTGAAATCACAACCATCACTAATTTCACCAGTTTTAAAGTGTTTTTTTTTTTTTTTTTTTTGAGGAGTAGAGCTTGTGTGTTTGTGTGTGTGTGTGTGTTTCAACTAATACAGTAGATGGCTCATTTGATGTTTTATTGTATTTTATGTGTTTTTCTTTGATTAAGCAAAATATATTTATGTATAAAAATATCTTAAGTGATCTATTGCTTACTTCACAGATTCTTTTCTTCACCACTTGACACTTTCCACGATGGAGTGGAGAGCTTTTGTTATAATATGGATTTTTATCTGTAAGTCATTCAACTTCACAACAAAAAGTATTTCTTCATGTATTTATTAGGGAAAAAAAGAAACCTACGAGCAAAATTAATAGGAAGGATGGGTCTAAGACACTTGTGGAGAACATGTCTTGACAAATCTGTAGTGAGAGATACTGAGGATAGAGTAGTGAGGCTGAACAGTTCTGATGATATTCTTAACATGTAGCGCCTCTATCACTGGAAATGCATATCCTTTTTTGTCCTGGTGTCCAGATTGTAAATACAATATTGTAATTCTGATTCTCATCAAATTAAGTGCACAGCTTGTGCAGGGGCTAAAAAATATTGACTATAATAGAACTGTTTCATAGATATTCATAGTTATAACATATCATTCTTAGATTTAATTTATTTACTTATTTAAAAAAATTTTTTTGTAGTTGGTAAAACATTTTATTGGCATGAATTTGCATAATGTTTTGACAAATCAAAAATGAAAAATATATACCAAAAGTTTTTCTTTTCTCTAGCAATAGCTGAGTCGCAAACAACAAGTTCTACACCTGCCATGACGACACTTACTGAACCATCCACGACTAGTGCAGCAGAAACAGCTACAACAACAGAGACTTCCACAATCACAAGAACTGCTCCTGAAACATCCACCACTAGTGCAGCAGAAACATCTACAACGACAGAGACTTCCACAATCACAACAACTCCTGCTGAAACATCCACCACTAGTGCAGCAGAAACATCTACAACGACAGAGACTTCCACAATCACAACAACTCCTGCTGAAACATCCACCACTAGTGCAGCAGAAACATCTACAACGACAGAGACTTCCACAATCACAACAACTCCTGCTGAAACATCCACCACTAGTGCAGCAGAAACATCTACAACGACAGAGACTTCCACAATCACAACAACTCCTGCTGAAACATCCACCACTAGTGCAGCAGAAACATCTACAACGACAGAGACTTCCACAATCACAACAACTCCTGCTGAAACATCCACCACTAGTGCAGCAGAAACATCTACAACGACAGAGACTTCCACAATCACAACAACTCCTGCTGAAACATCCACCACTAGTGCAGCAGAAACATCTACAACGACAGAGACTTCCACAATCACAACAACTCCTGCTGAAACATCCACCACTAGTGCAGCAGAAACATCTACAACGACAGAGACTTCCACAATCACAACAACTCCTGCTGAAACATCCACCACTAGTGCAGCAGAAACATCTACAACGACAGAGACTTCCACAATCACAACAACTCCTGCTGAAACATCCACCACTAGTGCAGCAGAAACATCTACAACGACAGAGACTTCCACAATCACAACAACTCCTGCTGAAACATCCACCACTAGTGCAGCAGAAACATCTACAACGACAGAGACTTCCACAATCACAACAACTCCTGCTGAAACATCCACCACTAGTGCAGCAGAAACATCTACAACGACAGAGACTTCCACAATCACAACAACTCCTGCTGAAACATCCACCACTAGTGCAGCAGAAACATCTACAACGACAGAGACTTCCACAATCACAACAACTCCTGCTGAAACATCCACCACTAGTGCAGCAGAAACATCTACAACGACAGAGACTTCCACAATCACAACAACTCCTGCTGAAACATCCACCACTAGTGCAGCAGAAACATCTACAACGACAGAGACTTCCACAATCACAACAACTCCTGCTGAAACATCCACCACTAGTGCAGCAGAAACATCTACAACGACAGAGACTTCCACAATCACAACAACTCCTGCTGAAACATCCACCACTAGTGCAGCAGAAACATCTACAACAACAGAGACCTCCTCAATCACACCAACGACTCCTGAATCATCCACCACTACTGCAGCAGAATCATCTACAACAACTGAGACTTCCACGATCAAAACAACTGCTGAAACATCCACCACTAGTGAAGTAGAAACATCTACAACGACAGAGACTTCCACGATCACAACAACTGCTCCTGAAACATCCGCCACTAGTGAAGCAGAAACATCTACAACAACAGAGACTTCCACGATCACAACAACTGCTCCTGAAACATCCACCACTAGTGCAGCAGAAACATCTACAACAACAGAGACTTCCATGATCAAAACAACTGCTGAAACATCCACCACTAGTGCAGCAAATTGCTCCAGAAACATCCACCACTAGTGCAGCAGAAACATCTACAACAACAGAGACCTCCTCAATCACACCAACGACTCCTGAATCATCCACCACTACTGCAGCAGAATCATCTACAACAACTGAGACTTCCACGATCAAAACAACTGCTGAACCATCCACCACTAGTGCAGCAGAAAAATCTGCAACAACAGAGACTTCCACAATCACGACTGCTGTGGAAACATCCACCACTAGTGCAGCTGAAACATCTACAACAACAGAGACTTCCACAATAACAACTCCTGCTGAGACATCCACCACTAGTGCAGCAGAAACATCTACAACAACAGAGACTTCCACAATCACAACAACTGCAGCAGAAACATCTTCAACAACAGACACTTCCACAATCACAACAACTCCTGCTGAAACATCCACCACTAGTGCAGCAGAAACATCTACAACGACAGAGACTTCCACAATCACAACAACTCCTGCAGAAACATCCCCCACCAGTGCAGCAGAAACATCTACAACAACAGAGGCTTCCACGATCACGACTCCTGTGGAAACATCCACCACTAGTGCAGCAGAAACATCTACAACAACAGAGACTTCCACAATCACAACAACTGCAGCAGAAACATCTACAACAACAGACACTTCCACAATCACACCAACTCCTGCTGAAACATCCACCACTAGTGCAGCAAAAACATCTACAACGACAGAGACTTCCACAATCACAACAACTGCTGAAACATCCACCACTAGTGCAGCAGAAATATCTACAACGACAGAGACTTCCACGATCACAACAGCTGCTCCTGAAACATCCACCACTAGTGCAGCAGAAACATCTACAAGGACAGAAACTTCCACGATCACAACTGCTCCTGAAACATCCACCACTAGTGAAGCAGAAACATCTACAACAACAGAGACTTCCACAACCACGATTCCTGCAGAAACATCCACCACTATTGTAGCAGAAACATCTACAACAACAGACACTTCCTCAAACACAACAACTGCTCCTGAAACATCCACCACTAGTGCAGCAGAAACATCTACAACGACAGAGACTTCCATGATCACAACTGCTCCTGAAACATCCACCACTAGTGAAGCAGAAACATCTACAACGACAGAGACTTCCACAATCACAACAACTCCTGCAGAAACATCCCCCACCAGTGCAGCAGAAACATCTACAACAACAGAGGCTTCCACGATCACAACAACTGCTCCTGAAACATCCACCACTAGTGCAGCAAAAACATCTACAATGACAGAGACTTTCACGATCACAACAACTGCTCCTGAAACATCCACCACTAGTGAAGCAGAAACATCTACAACAACAGAGACTTCCACGATCACAACAACTGCTGCTGAAACATCCACCATTAGTGCAGCAGAAACATCTACAACAACAGAGACTTCCACGATCACAACAACTGCTCCTGAAACATCCACCA